TACTTACGAAAATATTTTAACACTTGCTATATAGAAAACTTTTATGAATATATTCGAGTTTACAGATGATCGAAGGTGGAACTGAATAAAGGTTGTCTTGGCGTTTAAATTTATTTGCTGGTTTTACGAGAAGTGGCATAAATAACCGGATCCGTTGTTTGGATATGTCTTAGACTGTTGCTGCATAGATTCGAGCGAGTATGATGGGTATTTTAGAAGGCTGAGAGATTACGAGACGTTAATTGTTTCTTACTTGATAGGATGTACGCGTGATAGACCGAAGAATGTGGTGTAGGGCGTGAAATGATCTCGCCAGCCAACCGCACTGCCAACAATTCCGACAGAGAATTGAATTTGACGCACTAAATCTGTCTAAGTCACAGCATTGTCACTAAGGAATTAAGTTATCAAGCGTGTTTTATTAGGCGCCTTAACGCGTCCCTTCTCCGATTTGCTTGGAAAAAGTGAAAAAAAAAAAAGAAAGAAAAACCTGTTTGTCTGATCGTTCGATACTAACTATAATTCCATTGATTCTCAGTGTCTAGACCGGTCGACGCGATTTGTCTTCTGAAATTAAAAAAAAAAAATCTGCTTCGTGGAAAATTTCACGATTTGAGGATGATGGAAATGAGCAAATTCGGGAGTAAGGATCGTAGAGTAAGAATCATGAATATCATCTTTGGGTTCTCAGATCTTTAGATTTTCAAATTTCTTATTGCGCGATAGTATTGATCTATATATTATTTGCACGTTATTTTACTGTTCGGTTCTTAATGTATCGGAGAACAGGAAAACAGCGGTGACTCGGTTGTTTCACGAATAGGAAGTAAAAAATTGCTAATAGATTACAGGCATTCGAAGGAGAGCACACAAGGCGGAAATAAAGCCAGAAACTTTCCAAATATTCTTCCATCAACAAACACGGAATCACTGGCCATATTGGAAACTTCAACAAGTAAAAATCATTCAAGCAACACCGTTATCTTAGTATGAAAACTTTGCTTCTAGCCTGAAGCAGCCCTGAGACTTTCTTAACGACCTAACAGATTCGCAAACTTTCTCCTGTGTCTTTCACCGAAGAACTTTGGAAAATACTCCGAGAAGAGAATAGTTGGCGAGTAATCGACCAGTTTCGAACGTCCGCGAATCCTTCGACCGATTCCACGAGATCGAGAAGATCCGAAGGCGTCGCGCCGCACCAATTACTCGGTGAATTCGAGTATTTAAGAGCTGGACTAGAAATTTCCTGCATTCGAAAGTACCCGTGTCGGGTATGAGCGACGCGACGTCAGCCTGCGTGTAATTGGACCGAATTCCACGAGTTCGTGTCTGCTTGTCGTTTAGGTGGAATCGCATCCACAGCTTTATACCTGGCACGCGATCCGCGGCACCGTTTCACTCGCTCGTTCTTAACTTCTTGCGGTTGTTACGCGTTTAATTACTTCGAGAGATCATTTAGCCGCGCGAAAAGTCGCGTGTCAGTTTGTTCGAGTCGAGCTAGAGCGGTGTCGAAGATTTTTGTTATTCTAACGGCGATCGAAACTGATCGCTGAAGCATAGTCCACTTGCTTACCAGCTTACTATCTGCGAATAATTTAAGCAAATGCATATTTTTACGAACAAAATCGAAAGAGTAAGATTTAGAACAGGGATTTGTTTCGCTTATCGAACGGTGTATTAGTTACTGTGCCACGAACATTTTCTATATTTTTACCTTCATATTATTACTTTCATTTTGCGAGTTTTTGCACGCTTAATTTCCCATAGATGCATAGAAATCCACTGATTACATTTCTGTATTGTATTTCTTCCGTTCGTTCCTACTCCAACGTTTTTATGAACAATGTATCGCGATCGAGGTTAAAGGTTCAGCTTTTACAATCACTGGTCGATGCACGTGTGTGTGTGTAAAGCAAGAACTGCTGAGATCATAGGGCACAGTGGTATTTGAAACAGAACGAATGGCAGATTGCGAGCATTAAATGCAAATGTTGCGATCGCGATGGCGTGAGTACCGAGCATTAGGAAAACGATTTGTTCTTCAAAAAAGTGTTAAACGCAACATTGTACCTGTGTTTCTAAGCTACGATACGATGTTGGAGATGCGAATGTCGGTAAATGCTGGGTTACCATGACATTTCGCGTAGTCATCGTTGGTTATCGTTGAAACGTGCCATCTCGAGATGGAAGATCTCGCTGCTAAAATCTTCGTTATCTCCGTTTCGACGCGTAAATATTTCCAGAATTCTCTCCGTCGAATATTAATCAGCCACTTTACGCTCTTTAAATAATCATTCGTTTCGAGAACTTCCTGTCACGGTGATCGATGTAATCGTAATTGAAATAAGAATCGTCGAGTTGGTAAATTCTATTAATAATCTCGGGGACCTTAATCCTGAAACTTCCGCGAGGTTGTAAGAAATTGATGATAATTGGATAGTAATTCCAATCTCTTCGAAGTAGAGCTTCGCTCGACCTATAAGAATATAGACCTATAGTCACCGAGAACTTTGTTAGATTCATCACGAAACTTGGGTCAATTCAAACAACGTTCGAGGCAAGACATCGCGAGAGTAAAGTGCAGAACGTGCACGCCGTTTAAAATTCCTTCGGTCAATCGCTATCTTGGTAATTGTAATTACCTTTCTACTTAAATTCGGCGTGTAAACTTCAGTAAGCACAATTAAGATCACGGAGGCCCAGAAAGAAAGATCCAGGACGACTAACAAATTCAAGATTCGCGCAATCTCAAAGAAAAAGCCGTCTAAGGTCTAAACGATGGGAATTTTCTCTCTTAATTAGCCCCGAGCTCTGCCATTTTCTGCTCTAAATCTTCCTTCGTTCCGAATTGCACGCGTGATAATCGGCACATTCGATAGTCTAAATGCAACGAAAAGAAACTATTTACAGCGGCTCGCGAAAGTATCTCAACGCTTACCATAGAAAACTTTTATGAATATGCATATTGCGTGTGTTGTGCCGTTATTTTATGCCGAAACATTCCTAAATTTCATTCGCATTCGTAACGAGATTCAATTATCGCGATTATTCGCATTATACGGAACATTTTGGAATTTAATTAACATTATAACGAGACACGACTGTCTTATTATACCGATTATTACACTGATAAAATTTGAAAGCAATCTGAAAACGTATATAAAAGTTGCAAGACATTTACTGCGAACATATATTTAGTAGAAAATTAGTCTAATTTTAGTAGAAAATTAGTATAGTAAAAGAGCATGAATAGCAATCTTAACAAGCGTCTCGCACGATATACGTCAAAAGCGTGGACGATGGAGCTGTATAAATACTTTAGCAATTTTCCTGAAACGTATGCTTGTAGCAAATGTCTTCTAACTTCAATATACATTTCCAGACTCGGTTCCAATTCGGCCAATATAATCACAGTAGTCTAGTTTCATTAGCATTAATGAAATCTCAAAGTGGATCGCCTAACAGGCGTTCGAATATCTTCTCGAGCCACTGTATACGATGTTGCTGCACCTCGCGAACCTAACTAGCGTGAAAAGTTTCGCGCAATACTTGGTTCGGTATATCGAAATCGTTGGAAATTCGAAATAGGTCGAAGGAGAATTCTGAACGATAATTCCAGGTGGATATGGTGGAAAGAGGACGCACGATCGCGTCGAAGCTGGTGGAAGGGGCAGCAATCTGCGACGGGAAACGACACGAAATAAATTGCCATCGAGTAATTGTGATTTAAAACGGAAAAATATCGAGAGCACGGTTCTCTAACGAGTACCTTTATCGTTTCGCTACAATGGATCGCACACACGTCGATACGACGCGATGCGCGTCCACGGCGCATCTATCGACTCTTCTTTCTTTTTTCGACTGCAGTGCTTTCGGCGAACCGCACGTATCTCCGTATTTCTGTCTCGATTTCCCGTAAAAGGACGACACATCCGACGTGTATGGTTGCGTGAATCGTTTGCCTCGTTTGCCCGATGTAACACGCGGTATGAATCGATGCGACTAGCGATGGACGAGAATGATTCGTTCGTGTGGACGGGACTGGAATCGTTCCTCGTTTTGCTCAACCTCTGCGAACGAGCTGAGAAATGGAAATCATCTGCCGGTGAAACTCGCGTGACGTTGAAATTTACTGGCAAATTTATATGGAAACGTAAATCGAATCGCGTAATACGGTTTTAATATTCGTGCGTACGGGTTATATCAGCAGATTAGTCGTTCACAGGCCAAAGCGGTTAATTCCGCTTTTTGAAATTTTAGTGCCAAAGCGCTTGACTGGCGCCTGTCTCGTATAATTTCATTACTTTTTTTCTGCTTTTTGTTTCGCGATAATTTGGCAAGTAAGCGGCTCGTATTATGGTCTTTATACCGAAAAGTGCAAACGTTCGTTACAAATATTAGCGGACCGTGAATTCGTAACACTTATCAGGAAGCGTATCAATTTTGACTGATTCGATCATTCGATTTTCTTTGATTTGATAAATACGATCGGAAAGTGGAGCTGTCTATCGCAGCAGCCGCTTCAATTATTTTCTTCAGATTTTCCAACGATTCTTTACGAGGTTCGATCAACGTTTCCGCGTGTCGAGTAGCGCGCGCACGTGAACTTAACGAGGGACGCGGAAACCTTCTAAGCTCGCATCCGGACTACGTTTTATCCAATTACCGTTTTCTTCTGTGTTCGCGGGTGCACACGAGCACTGAGAAAGCGCGAGAGAGGAAAAACAGGTCGGCGAAAATGTTACCGAATTAGAAGGAGTTCTCAGTTACCGCGAGTCTAATGGAAATAGAGGCGAAGAAAAGGAACGATTCCGGTCTATGGAGAAATTCGTGTGCGCGCGTACACGCAGCCCCTGCTACGTGACATTAATGATTAAAATGCTTGAGAACGGTGGAGCGAGAACGCGTGTTCTCTACGAGCCAACATAAGGGAAAAAATAGATAAATAAACGAGAAAACGGAGAGATAAAAAAGACTAAGAAATTCTGGAAGAAACTCACCCAGCGTCGGCGTTGTGTAGTCCCAGCTTTCCGCGTCGTTTTTGTATACGTTCAGTTTGGTGGGCTGCAAACAAAGAATTTATATCGAGATTAGTTGCAAGCAATGGTTGAAAATTATTTTAAAGAAACATGTGCAAGAAACATAAAAATTATTATCGCTTAACGATGTATTGGCTAGATCATCTACGATATTTATTTTAATCTTCGATCGTTGATATCCAATTTTTTAGACGCCAACGCGGAATCTGTTAAGATTCTTTCACTAAAACACATTCGTACAACGTATTTATCACGTGGTATGTTCGCCACATTAATCGCTGCATGGAAACGAAAGAGATACCCGATACGTACAACATATTTTTATTAATCATGCTAAACGATTACGTAAAAAAGATATGAGAAGAAAAAACGACGCATCGTATATCACGTTAGGCAGAGTCTGTAAAATTTCGTGCCAATAATTAAGCGTTAAATGTTACACGAGATGTAGATATATTTCGATTCGTCGTGTGCTGGATTTTCCATACGCATCATTTTTGCAACGCGTAAAATCATCAGAGTTCCTTTCTAGAAAGATATACAATCTCATCGGTAGAACTTCCCGCTACAGTTACCGAAGCAATAAATTCAATCTTGTATCGAGTTCTCTGATATGCACATTCGCCTAGATATGAAACGTAACATCTCCGATAGCATACGATCGATCGATCCGACATCGCTGTATTCCAAGATCATTCTATCGACATTAGTGTCCACGCGTAGATCCGATCCGAAGTTAAGTCCTAATAATTTCAAGCTGGACACCCGTTGAAATTTAACACATTCCGTGCAGTAGCATTGGACGATCGTGCGCGGAATTATTAATATGGGAATTTAACGCAGGCAGGCTGCCCTCGCCTGTACCATAAATCCTCGATTAGCTATGCATGTACCGTTGCAAAATGAATTACACAAACACACGGGCAACCAGTTGGCTGCGAAGAGCTGGAAAGAGGTGGGAAGGAGAACGAATTGTTGGGATTATACGCAGATCGGTAGAAATCTGCGTATCGTAACGATGAACGCGTTAACATCATAGCCGATGTTAAATCGTTTGTTTCGCCTCAATCGAACGTATCCACGAAACGATATCAGTAACTCGTAATCGGTCGCGATTATTCTTATTAAATTTCAATAATCTGACGTTATTGCGTGTCGCTTTTATGCCACGAATACCTTTGACGAGACCAACGCAGCTTCCGTTCGTTCCCGGTTTCGAAAAGTTCTCCCTCTTTTGTTCAATTTCGCGTCGATCTCTGCTGAGAGAGGAAAAAGCCACCCTCTCGTTCCTTTGTTCGTCGGGGAAAAAATTTAATTCATCGCTACCGCGAACCTCCATTGAATGCTCTCCGTGTTTCACGCGGGATGCAACCTGCCTTCTTTTCTTCCTTCCTTCCATTTTCAACGCTGAATCGAGCCAAGAAGAGTCTCGAATTTTCTGTATACGCGTGTAATTCACAGATCTTAAGAGTAAACGATGCAGTGGTTATCTTTATCGGTAACTCGTGTCAAGGAATATGGCTTACTTTTCATATATTTCGCAATGCGTCCAAATAAATTGCAAGGAGAAAGTACTTTAAAAGCAACGATGCTTTCTATCGATGGTGTCTCTATTCTGCAACACATTTTTTGTATATTAATCGCGCACGAGCGTCGGTCATTTTGTATTTTTAAAGTTTCCGTGTGCCTGCAGATTAAAACGAAAACGGGTTTTATACGAAGCAATCAATCGATCGGTAGAAACTGAGCGAAAGAGCAATCGATGGAACAGTCTCTCCCCGGTGTGGCAATACGTCAACTGCTATCGGAAGCTCAGCCGCTTTTTCCACAAGAAATCTCTCTTAGAACCTAGTCTCTCTTTGTCGTTAATAGAAAACCTGACTTCGTCGCTTAACTCAATGAAGATCCACGAGCCACGGACTTCGATCAGAAAACGGACACTCGTCGTTTAAACAGCCGTCCGATTAATTGAGAAGTTTAAACGACGAATGACATACAGCGAAGAAAGATATAAATTAGAATAATTTTAATCTTCTCGCGAACGTTGATCCTAAACTAATATTCCTCGCTTATATCGAGATACTAGTTTCTACTTGCTGAAATTAACGTCATTTGTCATCCCAACTGCTCGGTTATAACAGCGAGTTTGAGGGCCAATTAATATGAATTCTACGCGGAATATAGTGAAAAAGGAGTTGCAAGTGCTGCAATAATTTCTCTTTATTTAGCTTTTAAGGCTGTCGCAAAATAGAGCTACGAGCATAAGCGTCAAATAAACTACGGTTTAACAAAGTTAGCTAATGCAGTTACTAATTCGGTACAGTGCATAAAATCTGGTTCGATACAACCTTTACCATTTATTCTGCCTCTGTAAATCCGTAAAAACGTACTAAGACACCAGCGTTCAAGCGACTAAGATAATGACACAGGCGACAAAATTACCAGACGCGAATTTTCTTTTTCTGTTGCAGCTTTTTATCTTACGGTAAGTACTGTTTATCCCATTGTACCGTTTATACATATTTGGACACGAATTAAAGAAAGCTCGTTGAATCAATTGATTCGTTATTTTCCTATAAACCTTGCAATGATTTTTGCATACTCTGATCCATTGCCTTGCACAAATACAATGCGATTAATGGTTTCTATTAGGTTGTCGGAAAAGTGTCTTTCTTTTACAGACACGTCTTTTACAACAAGGCATCTTTATACGGACATGAAATATAATTTACCAAACGTTGTGATCTTTATCTTGATAGAACAAACTGAGTCATACGTAATTCGATAAAATACGGAAAATATTGCGCATCCATTATTTCCTTATAGAACGAAAGAAACATTTCGAACGACCTAATATAACAATCAACGTCAATTATCGCGTTTTATACGAGACAAGCGTCCTAATGCTTCGTAGCTTCGCGATTATCGGCTTTTTATCGCCGATATTATAAAATTATAATATTACAGAGCAATTACAGCAACGACCTTGCGATCGCATAAACGCGGAACTGTGTCGCGATCGTGATCAAGCATTCGGTGCTTGGTTCGCCGCCGATCTATGCGTTAAATTTATCAGATTACGTCTGGACGGTCGTGAAGCGTGCCGTAAATTTCAAAGTCCTGCCCCGCGCGTTTTCAACGATCGTAAAAACGTCGAGCGGTGCTCGCTGCTTAACAAATGCCCCGGTGTTCCCCTTATTTCTCATAAGAATAATTCCACCAGCGACTGGAAGAAAGTAAAACGGCGGCAGAGAGAAAGGAGAGGACGTAGTGACCGGCAGCGTGGTTCGCGTTTATCAACGGGTGCGCTGCTCAACGTGAGAGAAACAGGCGCCAGTTGAGAAGAATGTGAAGCGAAAGAAGAGAAAAAGGAAATGGACGAGAGAAAGAGGAACGCGTTTGCTGGTAATAAACCGTTTTCTCTATGATTCGTGGCTGTTGTGGTGGCGAACAACACAAAGCCTATTACAACGAAACAAATCTCGCGAGAGGGAAGCGTTTCACTGTACGCTCGATGCACGGCCAATAAAATCTTCTAAAACGCAAGATTAATCGTAAGCGATATATCTGAGACGAAAGAGAACCGACTCGAGCAAGGAGATTTATCAAGAAACGAAGGTAAAAGATCCATTGTTAATCGAAGTGACGCGATGAAAATAAATGAGAAAAAAAGAAATTGTTATTAATTTTGTAAAAAGCAATCGATGGATACGATGAATTTGATACGACAGTTCCAGACTTAATTGCCCCTGTTAAATACTACCTCTATACACGATTCTATTAGGTTGCTCGAAAAGTGTCTTTGTTTCGCAAACGTGTTTTTTACAATACCGCACCTTCGTACAAACGTGAAACCAAATCTGTGAAATGTTGTGTTTATCTCAACAGGACAAAATCGGTCGTACGTAATTCGAGAAAATAACATATAACAAAAAACATTGTGCGTCTATTTCTTCATAAAACGAAAGAAACTTTTCCGATAACCTAATACTTTTTTTTTATTTGAATGTATTTCACAATCAATTCTCATTGAGAATTCGAAGAAATTTTTCTGACATTGTACTATGTCGTGTTTAGTGAATGTTTATCGTATGTTTGATTCTAGTAATCTAATACTAACACCGAATATTCTGCTGATATTGAATACCGTAACCGTGAGACTGAATGGAAGCGAAATATGGATGATCGGGGAGCATAATTTTAACGCAACAACCTTTGAATAAACATAGATTCGTAACAACCGACTGCGAGTAGCCTTGACCTTTTCAAATGGAAGGAAGTTATAGGATCTTTCAAAAGCAGCAGAAACAAAAATAAATTGCGAACGCGGTTATATATGGCCAGCTATAGTATTTCTGGGTTAAAGTTAAAACTGATCGTATTTTAGCAGTAGAGTAGCTAGTTTATTCGAATCGTTCTGCGGTGTCTTGGAAAAGGGAGACGATTCGCCTTATCCGAAAGGCAAATAGATCGCATCGTCCCTGGAACAATGTCCTCCCTCTCTTACCTTACTTTCCATGAATCCACCGACGACTACTTTGTGAAAGGACGTTCGTTCCTGCGGGCAAATGGATCGCTGAAAGGCTTCCCGGGGTGGAACTTTTTTGGTAAAATAAACGTCGCTGGAGTCTACCCATGATACGTAAATTTAGAAAGGGAGACAGAGTTATGAACTCGATTAAATATGTTCGAAAGAGTGACGACGATGGTAGCTGGTAACAAAGGCGCGATTATAGCGTCCGATACGAACCATCGAGGTTATACGATCGTTCGGTTTTGGAGGAATTAAACGACGAACATAAGGAAATACTTTGACATTAGAAGCGGAACATTTTCCGGAAACGGAGTTGGTCGATTTGGTCTCTGATTGACTCACGTTTCGAGAGATTATTCGTTATCAAGGTGAGTGTAAATTTTTAATCGGGAAAAGCAACGGAACCAGACAATGAGATTTACGAGCCGAAAATACCGCAAAACTTGGAAATTTCGCGCAGCAATAACTTTCAATTCACGCACACATATAGA